TTTTTTATTAAAAATAAAAAAATTTTAAATTCAATGTAGTCCCAAACTGTTGTCATATGTTTATCATTATTCAAGTTTTCAACATTTTTTATTTAAAAATATTAATTTTACTTTTTTATTTAAAAATTAATTAAATAATTAAAAATATCATTTATCATGTAAGTATTTCTATTTAATTAACTCTTAAATAAAAATATAAAATTGATATATATAATTAAAATTTTATAATTTTATTTAAAAGTTAATAAAATTTACATTTTTTTTTAAAAAATTCTTATTCTTAATTGACATCTTTTATTGAGTAAATACTAAATAAAAAATTAATCTGGTTGGTAGGAAGGTTTAAAAAAAAAAGGAAAAATTATGAGAGTTGGTAGGAGGTTGGTTTTTCATTTGAATACGTCAATGCTTTTTGCAACTATTATGTCAGCGTGCAACACAGGCAAACATCAAGAAAAGTGAAAAACAAACAGTAAGGAATCAAAATTAGATTTTTATTCCTTTTTTCATATATCAAAGCTGAAAATTTATGAAAAATTATTTAAAGATAATTTTTTATGTTATTTAAATAATTAATTTTATTATTTATTTAAAATTTATAATATTAAATATATATTAACTCATTAATATATAAAAACTATATAAAAAATAATATAAAATATTATCCATATATCATCCTAAATTTATATATCAAATCCGATCTTTCAGCCATATCATGAAACAAGGCCTCATAAAAGATAGGAAGTCACCATAGGACTGAATTGAAAAAATGCTAATGTGTTACACAATTTAGAATAACTCACTTTTTTATTTTATTATTTCTTTGTCAAGAAGGTTTTTTTTTTTTTTTTGGTTTTCCACCCAGTATCCAGGATTTCGTTCCGATTAATCCGAACTCGACCCACGTCGCGTACCTGAAAATAGTGAGTGAGTCTCCCAGCGGGGATGTCAAGAAGGTTTGCTAAATAATTAATTAATTATTGATAAAAAAATATTTTATCACTTATATGTTTAAAATTTAAATTCTTGTTCTTCTTTTGTGATCCTCTTTTCTAGTAAAAGTTTTAATCAATTAACTTCTTCCATTAAACAAAACAATTATTTTTTATTTTAAATTTTACTTTAATAGTATTGCGATTTAAATTTATAATTTTTTTTTAGTATTTTTAAAAGAAGAAATTGCAAGATCATTTCACAAGTTAAAATAGGAATAAACCAATATTGAAAAAGGAAGGGCTTTAGGTGGGCTCGGAAGTGATTGTTAAAGGGGCATTAATCAAGGAAAAGAAAACAATGTCGTACAAAATTGACCAAACTAAATTCAAGGTAATCGCAATTCACATAAAAGGAAAGATTATCAGGCTGTAAAGTGATTTGCACTAGTTCTAATGAAGATACACAGGTACAAGATTAAAAGAAAAAAAACATTTAAAATCCTAAAGCACTTTCCCTCTTTTTATCTTAGTATAATAAAGATAGTTGAACAAATGGTTTAAATAACCCTAAGCTTTAGATTCATTTGTTCATAAATGTTATTTTATAAATTAAATTTAAAATTTAATTATTGAAATTAACAATAAAAAAATTAATTTTTTATATACATTAGATCTATATAAAAGATGTATCTTTAAAATTATCTAAAAAATTAATTTTAAAAAATATAAAAATTAACTCATAAATATCCTCACAATAACTAAATAAATAAAGAAAATAATTGATTTAGATTGCAAATGTCAAAGGAACCAAATTGAGGGTTTGAAATCAAGGAAAAAGAGGGGTTACAAGTAACCTATCTTGAGAATAAAATATAATATTAGGGTAATGATAGGAATTATGAGAATTTGAGAGTAATAATGTGAAGCATATTATATTATTAATTTATTTGATACATATAATTATCAATTTGACCCTGCTCTCACTTGTCGTTCCTAAAATCTTTTCGTAAATTCGTCTCGCATATCATTACTCTTTATTATTATTCATAATTCATAATATTATGAGGTCCAATTGTCTCACTCTTGACACGTGCTTAGTACAAAATAGGAATCCAATGTACGGCCTTCTTTGTTTATTTATGTTGTTGGGTTGTGGCAATCTTTTTCTTTGAAGAAACATGGGTAGTTGTTTCATTCTATTATTGTTTTTGAGGCTGGATTCATCACACACCACTTTATTTAATTACCTGCTTGCACTGACCCCATGGGATTAGCATAATAAAAGGGTTTTTTTTTTTTTTGGGTGGTAGTTGGGTGGAAGCTTTCAGCTGAAACTTCTCTTTAGGGAGAATGAAAATTTCAAAATAAAACAAAAAAACAAAGCTTTTTTAAAGGTTGTACAAGCATGGAAAATTTCCCATTTTACAGGGTTCAAAACTGGTCATGGGAACTCCTACTCCAAAGAGAGAAAGAATTCTAGATGGAGACATTCTGTTATATCATAAAGAATTTCCTATTTTGCAGCACTATAGGATTGGAGAATAACTTATAATATCAAGAAGTTTACTCTTTATCTAATAGTTTAAATTGTGTAATTTAAATTTTATAACATTTTTTTGTTTCATGAAAAGACATGTTAATTATCCCAGCTTGAGGATAATATGTGAAAGGCACTTTCTAGTTTCTATATCACAAAATTTCCTTGCTCCCTAATAAAATTAGCTAATATGAGGTGCCAAAATGAGGATTAATTCACAGCTATTTTCTGTCCCAATGGAGTCCAATTTGAGAGATACAGAGGCATACTTTCTTTGATGAGTGATATTCATGAAGATCAGCGCTCTATCATAGACATGGGACTCATGATCCAAATTTCTTCTGGCTTTACAAGTGAAATCAGTCACGGTTATGGCCACTTGGTATGGGACAAGAAAGCAAGAAGAAACTTTTTCCTTGGGCCCTGCAATTTAAACAGCCATCATTAGAAACAACCAACCTAAAGTGTCATCATGATTAAGTAAATAACAGCTATACATTATGGCATGAAGGTTTATTCATGACCAAAATTTTAGTCTATATAACTATAATAATGTCCTACTCCTTACCATCCAAAGTCATAGCTAGAAATACTGCCTCAATCCCATGTTTGACAAGAGCTACAAGGACTTTCTCACAACATGATCCCAATGAAATCTCTAACTAATAAACTGCTTTGAGAAAAAGAGGTCTGGCCCAAATATGAATTGGGCAAACAATAAGTGTTCCTCAATTATTATCCGCAAAGGAGTGGCTCAGCTCATAAAAGGTTGAGATTTCAAGTTAAATATTTCATGTTTGAATTTTGAGTTTAGTAAGAAGGGATTTGGAAAAATGAGAGAGTTATCATCTCTTGTATAATTCATCATGTTCATTAATTGTTGGAGACCTGAGGGAAACCCACCAATCTAAAGTTATCATTCAATCACGGCAATCTTCAACAATTCCAACTTCAAATTTCAATTCATTAGATATATGGATTTAAGATATGCTAATCATTAATTTGAAACTTGGACGAATCAATCAGAAACCTTGGCATAGAAAAGATGAACATTAAATAAGATATCAACAGAAAAGAAAAAAAAAAATATGCCATAGGTATTCCAAGTTCTCTGAGCCTCTGAGGTCATTTTCCCCCTGCTGTTTTAATGCAGTCATATCCACCTGAGCAAAAAAACAGATTTATCAGATATCATATCAACTACCAAGAATAGAGAAGAATATAAAACCAGCTAGAAAGCTTTTATCTAATGAAACCGTCGAGCCAGGAAACTGTAATTTTCAAAAACAAACCAGACTAAATTCATAAAGTTCAAAAGATTTAACCACTGGAAGTTTTAGAGATTATTTATATCTGGTCCACACAAAAACAAAAGTCATACTCCCCTTAGATACTCCTTTGCAAACTACCAAGGTACAGTGTTTGTGAAAACTTGAGAAGACTGAGTTCATCTTCATAGAAGCAGCTTACAGATATAAAGAAATGAAAAAAATAAGAACAGGGTAATACCAAGAAAGAAAATAAAATCAAGCTGTAAACGCATCTATATCTTTTTCTTGATTGCTCTTTGTTGCACCGAGCAAGAAATATCTTTTGAAATGAATCCATCCTTATACTAAAAGAATTTAAACAAAGGACAGACTGGATAGCTTACTTCCTTTTACTTAAAGTCAAGGGCATATTTTTCCAAGCCCAGAGAATACAAAAAGCCATTAACAGTTTGTTGTTCCTCACCCTATAAAGCAATGGGAAAAAAGGAGAAAGGGAAGAAGATAAATCAGTCACCAGTCTTTGTGAATAACATAAAGGCATCTAAGTTAGAAGGAAAATCTTCTGGTTCACACAAAGATCAATCGTTTACACAGAAACGGTAAAACAAAAAGCATATTATTGATGCAGAACATCAATAAATTTGGGAGACAGTGCCTGGAGATATGAACGCTTTTTTGTTCCTCAGAAATAGCCTGCTTGATTCTCAAGTCTTCCACAGAACTGCTTTGACTTCTTTGTTTATGATCAAGAAAACAACCAAATGAATAGAGATAAGACTATGAACTTAGACCCTTGCTCGGCCTTGATTGATATACGTGACATCATATTTATTGTTCTCTTAATAAGCAACTATTGTTGATATGTCTCAACTTTTGAAGTGCAAGTTAGGTCAAAAACTCCAAACTGCTATATATAAACAACAAATTCAGATAAACAAAATGACTATATGAGCAGCAGACAGTCCCAGAAATCAGCTCTTCAAGAAAATATGCCATGGATGGAAAAGACAGGAAAAGGCAGAATTAAAACATCAAATAGCAGGAGAAGTCAAGTAGTTCATACAGCCATACAGGGTAAGGAGGTTTCAACACAATGCTGCTTGAAGGTGGAGTTTCATTCAGAAGTGGCGAGCGTTGTGGTGCAGGCTTAATAGGAGTGGAAGGCATTGTTGGCTTTGAAACAAAAGGCGACATGCCTACAGGCCTTGGAACCTTAAGAACATCTTTGCTCATATATGGAACTGCTCTCACATCATCATATGTACAATTTAATGGCCTTCTATGGAGTACCTAACACTCTCTTGGGGGATCTTCGTCTTAAATTATCCAAAGTCCAAGCCTCCAGGAGAATAAGAACTTCTTGATGAGTCCACCCGAGGCGAATCACCCACATTTCTTGTATTAGGAAATCTCACCAAGATACTAGTTTCCCTTGACTCAGGCATACACTGCTGTGTATCATAACTATTAAGTGGAGGCCTCCCTACTCTCAACAGCTTTTCACGAAGACGAAGGTCCATATCCTGGTTATATAATCACTCTGAGCTCATCTAAAACCATTTTTTTTGCATGAGTTTTAATCGAAGGTCATCTTTACCAATGCAAGCGTCCATAGTTATTCAAGATTAACAATGTCAGCAATTAAAACTTAACTTCCAAATCACAAACTAAAATACACCGCAATAATAGGGGTAAGCTTATAATGCCATACACTCCATTCGCACCAAAACCAACTCCTCTTTGACTGAAAAAAAAAAAAAGGACAAGAAAAGAGAGGTAAAACAGAACCATAGCCTTAATCAAGCAAAGTCAAATCAATACACTAACAGCGATAGGCACATAGAGCAAAGACTTGAAAGCCATGAAAGAATTTAGCTTTGTAATGAACAGAGTACTGGTAATCTGGTATTTCAATCTTGGAAATGAAACAGAAACACCCCATTTATTGTTGACCTGGCTTACATGCAACAAGGAACTATCCACATTATTTCCGAATCTATCTCTTACAGACAGCTTGCTTCCTTCAACATCTGATTCAGCTCCAGCCCTCTTCAAAAAATACAAGAGAAAAATAGCATTCCATCCTACAGTGGTCAAGAAGAACCACTTAAATAAAGCAGCAATTCGAGCTTAGGATATACAAACTCAAAATTGCCTATCTTGTCTAGGAAACCAAACAAATACTCGGAAAAACACTGAATAAAAATTAAATGGAACAGCAATAGTAGTAACAATATTGGCAAGAAAAAACAGAAGAAGAAAACCTTGCTGCCATCGCCGTCGTGTTTTTGAGAATCGGAAAGTGAAACCTTAGCACTTCGACGATGAAACTCGAAGGAGAGATTTTACGCTTTGAACGGAGGGAGAATCGGTTTTTGATTTCAGAGCACGAGAAAGTAAACAGAGGTTGTCCATGCTCGTGGTGATGTTACAGTCAG